TCCGCGTTCCTCAGTTAATATGGAAGCCTATGGGAGTCTCGCAACTCTGTTTCTCAACGGCTCTGCTTTCCTAGTGCCAACGTCATAGCTCTATAGAAGCTTTTAGTGAGTGAAGATGGCGGAGGCTGCTGCTCCACGACACCGGTTCTTCTGTCACTGCTGCAGAGGTGAAATCGACCCCAAGCTGCCTGTAAGTACACAGAAACACTTCATTAACAAGCGTTCGTGCGTTTTGTGTGCTTACCATGCGATACGCCTCAACGCAACTGAAGTTTTCCTTCTTACAGTTATAACTTACAGTAGAAGTACTAACTTACAGTACTGCATATATTTCTTATACATGTAGTGTTTGTATGAGTTGACGCGCATTGGTATAGAACTATGGGAATGTGATTCACGAAACTAAACGTTATAAGGAGTGTGTGGTGAATGTCATGGTTGCGAGGAATTCAGTAACCAAGTTTGGGAGTTACACTGATGCCAAATTTAGCACAGCCTCGACCGTCTGCAACCCTGGTCAAGTAGAAACACAGGCATGCTGTACATTGATTGGCAGGTGTGCAGATCCTGGACAGGTTGTCTGACACAAAGGTGCATGTAATATAGTAATAAAAATATATATATGAATTTAATCCTCCAACCTAAAATACTAATACCATGTTTTTTCGTTTTTTTTTTGTAATGTCTATTTGGTAAACATGTAACTCACATGGCATACAGTCACACAAGGGTTAAACTGTATTCTCAGGACAAAGAGATTTTTAGATAAATGTCAGGTCAGTGCAAGTTGTCATGTGTTTTAAAACAATACAGTATTATGTGATTTTTTGTTTAAATTTAGTTGAAAGCCTTTAATAGGCAATTTAATGGCAGGTTACATTGTGACAGCTTGCCTCATATAGAGTGTTGTCACAAAAAGTTAACATGTTAAATGAAATTTTTTTTTCATGGACAATAACAATGGAAATGCTCAATAGCATTTTGCAGTCAAGATAGTAAAATACATATATAAACCTTGAGAATTATTCACTGCAGTTAAACTAGTGACAACTGTGACAACTATCCCTGGTATCTTATTTATTTGCAACCTATAAAACATTACAGATAAACATTTTCTTTACATCTGATGTACCTGATAATGTACATGTGTTTGAACAGGAATATGTTTGTCCCAGATGTGACTCTGGTTTCATTGAAGAGGTGTCAGAGAACTCAAGGTGAGTTTTGCTTTTATGTCAGTAACTAATGATCGAGATTGTAATATTTTTCTTTACTGTAATTCCATAGATCTCGGTTTACTCAACTTGTTTGTCATTTACATTGAGTAAAACATGCTTCATTAGTTTTCTTCAGAGTCGTGATGGTGCTGGTGCTGCCGCTGTAGGCGGTGATGACATGGCCTCACAGTTTGCAGAGGTATAATACTTTTTTCCCCACTGTCTTCCAATAACTGATTATTTGAGCATCATATATCATTAACTATGAAAAACGTAAACTAAACAAAAATTAGAAATGTTGCCTTGCCAAAGCAATAAAAGCAATAAAATGTATTAATAAAAAGTGGTAATAAATAAAAAAGCAAAAACTAAAATAAATAAAATGTAAATAGTAATATTTAATAAAGCTAAATTAATAAAAAATGACAAAAGCACATAACAGAATTACTAAAAATTAAGTAAAATTTTAATGAAAAATAAAATCTAATTCAAAATATTAATAAAAACTTCAGTTGTAATTAATAAAAATTTGTAATTACAATATTATAGAAAACACAATTCAATTCTATTTAATTTTTTACAACAATGTAATCAATATTCTATTTATTAAAGCCAAGTATGAATCTCATCAAGTTAGTGTTTTTAAGTATTTTACATGTATTCCAAAATGATAACTCAAGGCAGTAACAATTTAAACTAAATATTTTATTTGTGAACTTACGTTCAGCTATTCCTTTTTAATAGTTAACTTTGAACTATTTTTGAATTTTTCAGATCATCAGTCATCAAAGCTCGTTAAATATTGGTCACAGACACAGAGATTTACCTTAAATTTCACGAAGCTGATTAATCACTAAAAACTCCCACAGATCATGTTTTCATGCCATTTTAAGTCTTATTTTGACGTAACAAAGTGGTTATATCTAAGTGTGTGAGTTGTTTACTTACTTTTTTAATTAGTCTTCCCATTAACGCCATTATATTGTTCATTCAGACTGATTTGTGAATACGGAACGCGCACAAACACAAGAGGCAGGATTTATCGCATGAACCAATCCCAGCCAACCATAACCAGTCATATCCAATCGTATCATGATGGAGGCATTGCCTCCTCTCTCGTGTCTTTTCCCCATTCATCCTCAATTACCCCCCCACTAAACCCACTGCACACTTTAGGGGGTCTGTTAAAACTCAATGGGCTCAGGGGAGGCAGGACTTCCTCTGTAACTTTACCCACTGGTGTCGCTGTTTGACAATGTTTCTTTAGAAAAACAAGTGATTTATACACTTTTTATATTTTGTAATATTTGCATTGTTTTATTTTTGTACTACAAATTTTTTTCTCATCCAATTCTCCCTTGCCTCCTCAGAGGAAACGCCCCTGATATATATATATATATATATATATATGTGTGTGTGTGTGTGTGTGTGTGTATATACACACACTACCGATCAAAAGTTTGGGATCAGTAAGACTTGTAATGTTTTTTAAAGAAAACTCTTATGCTCATCAAGGCTGCATTTATTTGATCAAAAATACAGAAAAAAAACGGTAATCTTGCAAAATGTTATTACAATATAAAATAATGGTTTCTATTTTAATATCCTTTAAAATATAATGTATTTCTGTGATGCAAAGCTGAATTTGCAGTTGGTGATCCTGCCTCTGGGACAGCGGGACCCATAGCGTCTGTGGAGACTTTGTCAGACTGCACAGAGCCTGTGCTCCCCCCTCAACAAAACAGCCAGCAGCGAAACTCTAGACTGGATCAGGGACAGGCTGTGGAGGGGTGTGTAATGCCACTTGTTACAGCTGCTGTCTACTAGGAGTTCTAAAAGACGGAATATATGACGATCTTTATTTCAAGTTTTACATTCAGTTTTAACATGGTTTATTCATATATATACATACACATATATATATATATATATAATCTTTTCTAACAATACAAATCTTTGATACCACTTCTCATCAATTTAACACATCCTTGCTGAATAGTGTATATTGTTAGAAAATATTTCTATTTTAAATAAATGCTCTTCTTTTAACTTTTTATTCATCAAAGAATCCTGAAAAAAAGTATCACAGGTTCCAAAAAAATATTAAGCAGCACAACAGTTTTCAGCACTGATAATAAATCAGCATATTAGAATGATTTCTGAAGGATCATGTGACACTGAAGACTGGAAATTATTACACAGCTCTCCGCTTTGCGTCGGGGTCTGTTGCCATTGGTCGGTAGGCCTGTCGCAATAATCAATATATCGACTTATCGCGCAATATATGTACATGACCGCAATCATTTTTGGTGACGCAATATACCGCACATTATATTTTCTTAAAAAATAATGTCACCGTGTTTTGTACATTCCACTTGCGCTTGTGTCTTTTGCAGCTTCTCGTACATAACGTGGTGTAGTCATGAGGTGCTAGTTCACATTTAAAAAATGCTTCTACAATCAAAGTTTCATCTGCAGATATGGCCTTGTTTAGGGATCTATGCCTTTGTGCATACGGGCATCTGACTGCTGAGTAGTGATTGTGTTTTTCAGCAATAATGTGCACCCTTCATTTACTGAGAAAAGAAGGTCAGGGAAAAATCTGTAAATGGAAAAATCCGCATACAAGTTCTTTGTGCTTTTTTATTTTTTTTCGGCGCTTGTTTTGGCTGATTGAACATGTTGAATCGGTGTTTGTCTTGTCTTAGAACGTATGAGAAATACTCAGTCGGCTGTTGCCATTGGTCTGCATCTGTGTGTGGTGTGAATTGGCCTTTAAATGCAACAACTCTGTTTTTGTTTCTTTAATTAAGGATTGTCCAGCAGTTCCTGTCTGGTCTGTTTTCCAATTCTGACAGTGCAGGTTCCCAAACCTCCTCATGGTATGTTTTGTGGTTTACCATGATTCTGTGAAGTATAATATGTTTCTGAGATAACATTCAATCAATCAAACAGATTTTAAGTTTGTCTGGGCTTAAACAATATTTGTATCAACCTATCACCTCCGCTGATTGACAGGAATGTTGTTCCTGGACCAACAAAACAAAAGATATTCAGTGTGCCATTTTGTCCTACAAATTCACTTATATGTCGAGACATTATCTACAGATCCATCCAATGATTTATCAATAACCTATTCCTCAGGTCTAGCATGCTGCACTCTAACCCTGGAGATTATGCTTGGGGACAAGGAGGTTTAGATGTGGTCATCACACAGGTGAGTCACACTGTCATCTGATGATATGACTCATGTCCTCAGCCTTTTTGCAGTTTGCCTCTTGGCACTTATATTTGTCCCTGGGCTGGAGTCAAGCACATTATAGATTTTTCTTGTGAAAATTAAAGCATTAGAAATATCCTGCTCATCAGCTGTTGCAGATTTTGTTTTTTTTTCCAGTTGCTTGGTCAGTCTGAAAATAGCGGCCCCCCTCCTGCCGGGAAGGAGATGATCTCATCTCTCCCCATCGTTAGCATCTCCTCAGAACAGGCTGGTAAATTCCCATAATCCTCTGAGTCACCATGTACACTTTATTTTAAGTGCTATAAAGCAAAACAGGGCTGTTCACATATATCTGGTCACCTCCAGAAAGCATTTTTATTTTGCTTTTCCTGACAGACTATTGTACTGAGCATGATAAATTCAAGAGGGTGAACTGGAAAGTGTTAAAACATGATGAATATGTATGATTCTGACAGCAGTGCATTGTGTATATAAGCCATATTTATAGCAAATATTTCAAGAGACTCACATTCTTCCCCTCATGTTATTTATTGCTGAGCTGCAAATCTGTTTGTTCAATCAGTTGCAAGTGTTTTAAAGCGATAGTCACCCAAAAACAAAAAATATTTACTCATCTAATATTGTTCCAAACCTGTATGGCTTTCTATCGTTTTGTGGAACATAAATGAAGAATGAAAGAATGCTGGTAACCAAACAGTTTCAGTTTCCAATGACTTCCATTATACGAAAATACAATAGAAGTCAATGGGAGCCAAAATATCTTCTTTTGTGTTCAGCAGAAGAAAGAAAGTCTTTTGAGTTTGCAACGACATGAGATTGAGTAAATGATGACAGAATTTTCATTTTTGGATGAGCTATCCCTTTGATTTTCAACTTTCCATTTCACAGTAGATCGCACTTGACAGTCTCTCTCTCTCTCCATGTTTCTTGTGCATATATTTTTCTACGTCTCTCTAACAGCATGCCGGCTGGAATGCCCTGTGTGTAGAGAGGAATACTCTGAAGGGGAATCTGTCCGACAGCTGCCCTGTCTGCACTACTTTCACAGCAACTGTATCGTGCCCTGGCTACAACTGGTATGAGTCTCATAAAATGACCTTCGTGCTGGATCATTTGTCATCAGACCCATGTTTATTAACAAAAATAAAACCCTCAGGAATTTCCAGTGGGTTTTTAAAATGTCAGTTTTCGATTTATGAGCACACTAAACTTTGTGGTTAACATTACTTAAACAGACTTCTCTCTACAACATTACACAGTCATACCGCAAACATGAAATTTTGAGGTGGCAGGTTTGAAATGTGCTCAGATGTACATGATATTTGAAAATGATATGTCATGTACAACTAAATTATGTGCTAAAATAACCTACACTAGCATTCAGAAGTATGGGGTTGGTAAGATTTTTTTATGTTTTTGAAAGAAGTCTCTTATGTTCACCAAGGCTGCATTTATTTGATCAAAAATACAGTAAAAACGGGACTACTGTGAAATATTATTACAATTTAAAAGAACTGTTTTCTACTTTAATGTTTTCAAATGTAATTTATTCCTGTGATAGCAAAGCTGAATTTTCAGCATCATTACTCCAGTCTTCAGAGTCACATGATCCTTCAGAAGTCATTCTAATATACTGATTTGGTGCTCAAGAAACATTTCTTATGAATATTAATGTTGAAAACAGTTGTGCTGCTTAATATTTTAGTTTTTTAGATTCTGTGTTGGAATAGAAAGTTCAAAAGAACAGCTTTTATTTAAAATTTTATTTTTTGGTAACATTATAAATGTTTTTACCACCATTTCTGATCAATTTAATGTGTCCTTGCTAAATAAGTGTGAATTTTTTACAATTACAATTCTTGACAATTACTGTTCTGTCCTCATTTTGTGCTGTTTTTTGTTAATAGCACGACACCTGCCCTGTCTGCCGGAAAAGTCTGGATGGTGAAGACCGGGGTTTCCAGCCACAGACCGGACCTCCAGGGGCAATTCCATCACCGATGAATGTAGAGGAACGTAGCACCTCTGAGACTCTTTAGCCTCCTTTTAATACCTCACAATGAAGTGAGCGCACAGTTCACTTTCCCTTACCTGTCAACAGGTGACATCTGCTCTGCACATGCCTTCACTCTTTTGAAGGCATCATAGAAACGCAAAGATTTAGATACCTGCTCAAGTTTTGCACTGTAAAACGTTTCATCTGTTGTTCTGTACATGTTTTGGGTTGATAGTTTGACATTGCTATGTGTTGCTATTTTGAAGATTTGTGGGTTCTTGTGGATGGATAGAAAAAGAAACGTATTTATTGTATTCACAAGTTTTGAAGATGTTTTAGAACTATCCTTGACGATCCTCTTGGTGCTTTTGTCTTAATTCTCAGGGTTCCTCGACTGCTCCATATTGTGATATTGAGACACAATCCCACTTATAAGAGTTCACTTCACAATATGGTGAAGTTTGAACCTTTTGAGTGTCATTTGGAATTTTATACCATACTATCACACAGGTAAAGGTAAAATGTTTACAAGAGAGAGAGAGAGAAAAAAAAAAAAACAATGTTACAATAAATAACTAGAAAAACTTAACTTTACATATCAGCCAACCTGCTACATATTGCACTCTCAAATAAATAAAAGACTATTTTTGTTTTTTGGCATCAGAGTGTATGAACTATATGGGGTTTTTCAACTTTTGATGCTGATATCTAGAATGCAGGGTGGTTGATGGCAATATAATGCTAATATAACTAATTCAACCTAATGATGAAAATGAGACAAAACTGTGTAATCTAGATAAACATTTAATTTACATAAAATTTAATCATCTCAAAATTGCCAAATATTTTATTTAAGCTTCATGTGGGCTTGAAGAAGATACATTATGATTAATTAACCAATCATTAATTTCTTTTTTCTCTTTTTTTTAGAAAGAAATTAATACTTTTATTCAGCAAGGATGCATTAAATTGATCAAAAGTGACAGTAAAGAAATTTGTAATATTACAAAAGATTTCTATTTAAAATAAATGCTGTTCTTTTGAACTTTTTATGTCTATTCATTAACAATTTTTTTTTTACATTTCTATTCATAAGAAATGTTTCTTGAGCACAAAATCAGAATATTAGAATGATTTCCTAAGGATCATGTGACACCGAAGACTGGACTAATGATGCTGAAAATTCAGCTTTGCCATCACAAGAATAAATTTTAAAAAATTCTGTATTTTTCAGTGTACATTGTACAAGTTATAATGTAAAGTTTGCATATTGTGAGAGGCAGATTTGCATTACAAACTGATAACAAGTCACATATTGTTTCCAATGACATCTGTCATTACATTAGGCTATTTTGTATGATAAGGAAGCTGATGAATGCCCAGTTTCCTAATTAATTTCTGTCATTAATGTGTGACACGTCAGCATCCCATGGGTTAGTAAGATTATTTATCATCTCATTTGCATCGTAAAAACCCAACAAATTAGTTATGAAACAGTTTCACTATGTAAACCATGAAGTTTGATTTCCATCTGTTTCACCAAGGTAGTTTCTGCATTACTAGAAGTAAATGAGTCACGTGACTATTAATATTTTTTTATGAAGCAATACCCCCACAATGATAATACCTTGTTATATTAAGACACTATGAACTTGTGTAAATGCAGAATTGAATAGCCACCTAGATCAATGTCAAAAAATAACCATATGGATTGCGCAACGGTGTATTTCACCATTCCGCCTCGTCCAAGCTTGATCCAAAAGTTCAGTGGGATTTTATGTGGGTGAAATAAAAAAGGAGGTTTTAATTGTCGATATTTCACTGTAGTTAAAACTGACACGAGACAACACGACGCCTTTTTCAGGAGCTAGAAATTGTTGGTTGTGACTCTTTTGAATCTGTCAACTAAAAAGATTCGTTCAGTAGCACTTTTTTTGCAGTTTAATCATTTACGCCAGTAGGTGGCGTCAAGTGTCGAGTGTGTGTTTGTGAATCACTGACTCATACTCATTGATTCTAAAAAAAAAAAACAGTCGTTCACAACACAAACAGTCTTATTATTATTTATTAAATTGTGTGCATAAGTATATTCAAAGGCCCCAGAGAGTATGTAACTAAACATTTTGTTCATTTTCATTTCATTCATTTTGTTTATGAACATGTCTCCTTCAGATTCGGAACATTTAGTTCATCATTCGTTCAGTAGCACTTTTTTTGCAGTTTAATCATTTACGCCAGTAGGTGGCGTCAAGTGTCGAGTGTGTGTTTGTGAATCACTGACTCATACTCATTGATTCAAAAAAAAAAACAGTCGTTCACAACACAGTCTTATTATTATTTATTAAATTGTGTGCATAAGTATATTCAAAGGCCCCAGAGAGTATGTAACTAAACATTTTGTTCATTTTCATTTCATTCATTTTGTTTATGAACATGTCTCCTTCAGATTCGGAACATTTAGTTCATCGTTCTGTTTATTATATTATAAGTGCGCGCTGATGTTGTCTGCCACCTTAATGCCTCGATCTCTTTAAATTCAAGTGGATTTAGATGGCATGTCGCCAATTTTATTGTTCATCAGCTGGAAGAAAGTGATTTCAACCATATGGCTCCTCTGTGTTGTTATTTTTAATGCCCGTTCTCACCAAGGACGACAACTAACTATAATTATGTAGTTTTAATAATAGTCTCTAATTCTATGAGAATAGAGAAGTCCACACCAAACGTTGGAATCTCTTCCAGAACGATTTATTTTTCCAAGCTAAAGACAATCAGAATAGCTACATCCAACTTTAAAGAGCATTTATAGCGGCAGACGACATAGGCTAACTGCAACTCGCGCTTATAATAATAAACAGAATGTTTGTTAGTGCGTACGCTACTTAGTTAACGTTCTAAGTGTGGACGGTCCTTCATACCCGTGGTGTGTGAACTTCCCTATTCTCATAGAATGATATTAAAAATTTGTAGTTATCGTCGTTGATGTGAACGGCCTTAAAGTGAACGAGAACGGTTCGTTCACTTGAAAGATTGGTTGCTGCTCTCCTATTATTAGATTTTGCTCAGTGCTCACTCATAAAGTTTCACAACCCGCCTCACGGCTACGATTCCCACTTGGGAGTCTCGATATTTCATCCAAGCTAAAGACAATCAGAATAGCTACATCCAACTTTAAAGAGCATTTATAGCGGCAGACGACATAGGCTAACTGCAACTCGCGCTTATAATAATAAACAGAACGTTTGTTAGTGCGTACGCTACTTAGTTAACGTTCTAAGTGTGAACGGTCCTTTATACCCGTGGTGTGTGAACTTCCCTATTCTCATAGAATGATATTAAAAATTTGTAGTTATCGTCGTTGATGTGAACGGCCTTAAAGTGAACGAGAACGGTTCGTTCACTTGAAAGATTGGTTGCTGCTCTCCTATTATTAGATTTTGCTCAGTGCTCACTCATAAAGTTTCACAACCCGCCTCACGGCTACGATTCCCACTTGGGAGTCTCGATATTTCATTGTGGGTAAACACTGCCGAGCGTACGGCAGCACGACCCCCCTTTACAGGAGCGCTACATTTTCATCTGAGAAAAACAAATATATCCCGCATTTTTTCTCAGAGTTGTTTAGCTGAATTTGTATGCCCCCACCTTTGAGCAGGGAGAAAGTATCGAACCTATGACGTGTAAAATGTGCCAACTCTAGGCTTACCAGGAGGAGGAGAAAGAGCAGTCTACCCTTCAGTCACCGTCAGTCCGTGTAGATTTTTGAATGGGATTAGCTGTTTCCATCCAAAATTGCGAATTTTACTTATGCGCAAAATTGGAATATCGCATAACATTTGCATATTAAGCACCGTTTCCATCCAAACAATCACCAAAGAACCACTCTTCACTCAAAATCAAAGTCACTTCCTGATAAACTGGCACTAAATATCACCAAGAAAAGTAGGATAAGCCTCTGAAAATAATAATTTTCCTATACTGTATGTGACCCTGAACCACAAAACCAGTCATAAGGGTCAATTTTTTTAAATTGAGATTTATACATCATCTGAAAGCTGAATAAATAAGCTTTCCATTGGTTTGTTAGGATAGGACAATATTTGGCCGAGATACAACTATTTGAAAATCTAGAATCTGAGGGTGCAAAAAAATCTAAATATTGAGAAAATCGCCTTTAAAGTTGTCAAAATGAAGTTCTTAGCAATGCTAATCAAAAATGAAGTTTTGATATATTTACGGTAGGAAATTTACAAAATATCTTCATGGAACATGAGCTTTACTTAATATCCTAATGATTTTTGGAATAAAAGAAAAATC